CAGCGGACGTGGAGGGCTATAATGTAACAAGAGCTCGTTCAGATACTGAGGTGCTAAACCATTCAGGGCTTTATAAGTAATTAGCAAGATTTTAAAATCTATACGATGTTTAATAGGGAGCCAGTGCAGTGTTGATATAACCAGGCTAATATTAGGTCATACTTCCTGGTTCTAGTAAGAACTCTAGCTGCTGCATTTTGGACCAGCTGGAGTTTGTTTATTAAGCGTGCAGAACAACCACCCAATAAAGCATTACAATAATCTAACCTTGAGGTCACGAACGCATGAATTAACATTTCTGCATTTGACATTGAGAGCATAGGCCGTAATTTAGATATATTTTTGAGATGGAAAAATGCAGTTTTACAAATGCTAGAAACGTGGCTTTCAAAGCTATGTATTTCGTCACCACGGTAAGCAGGGAGGGGACCAAAGCATATTACAGTGTCTGACATCGTACTTGCAAGTTCACACACCTCTTTAATGTTATTTTTAGTGATCTCCGACTGGCGAAGTCGAACATCATTAGCGCGGACATAACAATCTTACTGAATTTACATTTAGCATTAGCCAGCACTTTTAAATTTGCCAAGATGTCAGGCGCTCTGGCTCCCGGTAAACATTGGACTATGGTGGCTGGTGTCTCTATTTTCACGTTCCGTACAATAGAATCACCAATAACTAGAGCACTTTCATCAGGTTTCTCAGTGGGTGTGTCACTGAGTGGTGAGAACCTGTTTGATGTTGTTCTGTTACAGTAATTGTCTAAGTTAATTAAGGAATAAATGTTTGGTTTTTAGTTTGTCTCCCCCTGCTGGCTGCTCTGAGAATAACGCTGTCATTATCATGTGACTGATCAGACGACTAACAAGGAAATTAGTGCTTACCATTCTGCTAGTCTATTCTTGAGTCAGGAAGCAGTGAATCAGTATCCATCTGCATTCATCCTTGGCCTTTGGTAGCTTCGTCGGTATGTTTTATTGTTATTGTTCATTTTACCTTCAATTGTATTTAATTATTTTGAAGTTTTTGTAATTTGTATTATCTGAGTGCATCTTAGATGTATTTTCTCGTTTGACCATATGAAAGCCATTGATATATTTATCATTTTCATTTGCCTGACAATATATTTTTGTGTTATCTGATAAGCAGAAATGTTAGATCTAAATTACAAGATATTTGTAAGACGTATTGCTTTATGTACACATTGTGAATCTCAATTCATATTTTTTATTGTTTTCTTCTTATTTCATAGTTTTACTCTACCCTTATTAAAGTATGCAAATGGACATTCCGTGTCTGTGACGTTGATGAGGGGGAGTTTAGCCTGCTGTTGAAGTATACACAGGACGTATATGGAGAACAGTACAGTAAAATGACGGCTCTGTCGGGCAGGACATCGCAGTTCAAGCTGATTCTACACAGCATCAATCAAGCAAGTAATCTTCAGTTCCTCAAATCATGTCAAAGAAAAGCTCGTCAACATGGAAGACCAGGTCTCGTGTCTCCACACAACATTCAGGTCATTCTTCAGCAAGTTCTGCAGCTGCATTAGCACGTGCAGAAGCGGAGGCCGCAAAAGCACGTCTATCATTTGCTGAAAAACAAATGAAGATGAAAATAGAAAAAGCACATTTAGAAGCCTCTATGGACATGTTAAAACAAGCGAAAGAAACTGCTGCAGCTGTTGCAAAGGCTGATGCACTCGAAGCTGCTGTTGATCACCACAGTGAAAGATTAAGTTGTAAACTTTTTTGCAAGATCATACACCAGTAGATGCAGCACAGCGCACTAAAGATTATGTCATGCAGCAAGCAAAGACAAATAGCCCATATCCATCAATGCCTGGTGTAGAGCCATTTTCTGATGGCCGAGCAAGTTCATGAACAAGCACTCAACACACCAGTACTTCATCCGGAGGGCAACGCTTCTTTAGGGTTTGCATCCGCTGCTGCATACGTTCATAATAATTCCAATATGAATTACTTTGTGCGTTACTTGGCTCGCCGTGAATTGACCTCTACAGGACTGCTGAAATTTAATGATAAACCAGAAAGTTACAGAGCCTGGCGATGTTCATTCAAGAATGCTATTAGAGATTTAGACTTAACATTTAGTGAAGAAACTGACCTTCTTGTCAAGTGGCTCGGAAAGGAGTCTGCTGAATATGTCTGTCAGATCCAAACTGTGAATGTGAATAACCCAGAGAGAGGGTTGAAATTGATTTGGGCCAGGTTAGAAGAATTCAATGGCTCACCTGAGGTGATAGAGAATTCACTGTTCAGACGCCTTGTGAGTTTTCCCAAGCTAACAAACAAAGATTATGTGAAGCTAAGAGAGTTAAGTGATTTACTCATGGAGCTGCAGTCAGCCAAGGCTGATGGAGACTTGCCTGGACTTGCGGTACTTGACACTGCTCTAAGATTCAAGATTCAACAGAAAAGCAAAGCCACACGGAGTTACAATCACAAACCACTCAGCAGCACAGCAGACAGGAACAGGAGTTATAAATATAGTGTATAGAAAATATAAATATAAACATAAATATAGTGTATAGAAAATATAGTGTGAGACTGATGAGGTGATGAGATACAGGTGATTGCAATGGGTGCTGAGACCAGGCAAAGGATTATGGGAAATGGAGTCCGGGGTGAATGGCAAAGGTACAGGATGGAGTGCCCTCTAGTGGAGCTTGTGGGCACTCCAGCTAGAGATCATGACACTAGAGAAGAGCTTTTTGCGAAATATTAGACCAGTGGTTCTCAACAGGGGGGGCGCGGAGAGATCAGAAGGGGGGCGCAAATGGTTTTCAAGAAAAAACAGAGACAAGGCATTATTTGGGTAATCGTATTTTTTGCATTTTATTGCGTCCCTCTAGCAGTGACTGTGACAAGTGGTGTCCTATACACAAAAAGGCAAACTCTTCGCAAGTGTCGTATCTTTAGAGAAAAGTCTTGGGAAGAGCATAAAGCATTCCTGAAAGAAAATGGGATCTGCTTTAGATGTTGCATGTCTTCACTGCACATTGCAAAAAATTGCAAGGCCCATGTTAAATGTGCAGATTGTAGTAGCGAGAATCATGACACTGCCCTTCACCAAGAACCAGCACCCATGACTAAAGACATAAGCCCCCATCTAGAGCATGGCGGGGAGGGGGATCCTGTATCATCATATGGTTTTCAAGAAAAAACTGAGACAAGGCATTATTTGGGTAATCGTATTTTTTGCATTTTATTGCGTTTCAAGTAGAATATACACAAATGGAAAAACCCCGCTCGGCTTGGAAAAAAACCCTGCTCTGCTTGAAAAAAAACGCGCTTAGCTTGCCTTTTATCCAGCTGTCAGTGCAGACACGTTTCAGAATGTCAGTGACTAGCAGCAGAACGGATTTTGGGAAGTTTATGGATAAGTTCATCACACGTATGAAAAGGAGTTGTGACGACGATGTGTAAAACACGAAAGTACGACATTAGCTATCTTCAGTTTGGCTTTACAGTGGCTGGGACAGATGCTGAACCGCTGCCCCAGTGTGTCATATGCGCAGATCTGCTGGCAAATGACAGCATGAAGCCATGCAAGCTGAAGCGCCATTTAGAAACGAAAACACCCGCTGCAATCTCATCACATTGCACTCAAGTCTGTGGTGGTGATCTGACTGACAGATCATGCTCAAAAATCTGTCTGGCCAAAGTTTATCCTAGTGGTTTCCGCACTAAAGCAGTGAAGCTTTATGCAATAATTGATGACCAAAGTAACAGATCAATGGCCCGTACGGAGTTCTTTGGTATGTTTGGCATCCAAAGCCCTAGTTTACCATATTCACTAAAAACCTGTGCTGGTATTATGGAAACAACGGGAAGGCGAGCAGGTGGCTTTGTGGTTAGCGCAGTTGTTGTACCTTGTAGACATTTTCGACAGGTTGAATTCGCTGAACACATCGATGCAAGGGAGAGAAGCCAACATCTTGCTCCTTTCAGACAAAGTCAGTGCATTCGTTGGCAAACTGGATCTTTGGCGTGATCAGCTGATTAATAAAAATGTTGACAAGTTTCCCAACTTCGCCGACTGTGTGCAAGAGACAGGGATAAATATCTCTCCTTTGATTAACACAGTCGCTCAACATGTTGAGGGACTAAAACAACAATTCGGCCGTTATTTCACTGAGGATTTCAGTTCATTTGCTTGGGTCAGAGATCCCTTCAGTTGCCCAAGAAAAGACATTCCAGTTGACGTGGGGGAGCAGTTAGTCGAATTAAAGAGCGACACTAGATTGCGACACCTCTACAGCTCTTCCTCTCTGCCGTCATTTTGGTTGAGCGTGATGCCTGAATATCCTCAGTTATCTGACGCCGCCGTAAAATTACTTCTTCCATTAAGTTCTCTTGTTCAAAGTAGTTAAAATTTTCAGAAACATTCTTGATCATTTTTGGCCATGTTCCATAACTATCTAGCTATCTGTCCTTTTATATAGTTTTATAAAACTCATAAAAGTTATTTTACATATTCCATGCTGCAACAGAAAACTCACACACCAGTCAGACCACTTGGGTGATATGGTGTTTCAACATACAAGAGATGATGATAAAGTAGCTCTGCCCATTGAGGATAACTACTTTCTGGACATTATGAAAAAAAGAGTTTCAAAAAGATGAAAACAATGGTTGGGTAGCACCACTGCATTTAAAAAACCCCGACAGCATCTTCCTGACAACAGGATGCAAACGATGAAACGACTCTCATCACTCTTGCGTAACTTTGAGAGGAAACCACAGATGAGAGAACACTTTGTTTCCTTCATGGAGAAAGTCTTTGAGAATGGGCATGCAGAGGTGGCTCCACCTCTCAAAGACGATGAGGAATGGTGGTATCTCCCCATCTTTGGTGTATATCATCCGAAGAAACCTGGACAAATCCGGGTAGTGTTCGATTAACACACTTGGTACAAACAAGCCCCTAAATGCAGGCATTGTAGCGTTGTGAGCGGAGTTTTGTTTCTGCAGTGTAAATGCACCGTTACTGTTCACAGAGATGGGCAGTATTTTAATTAAATGTATTTAATATACGTATTTTGGAATTTGTATTTTGCTGGACAGAAAATGCAAACAAAGCACTTGTGCCTCTTAATAAAATTGAGGTTAAACTGGAGTCACAGAGAACTTTAACAAATGTCTTTACTACCGTTCTGGACCTTGAATGTGTAAAGTTGCGTTGCTGCCTACGGAGGGACAGAAAGGTCTCAAATTTCATAAAAAATATCTTAATTTGTGTTTGGAAGAGGAACGAAGGTCTTATGGGTGTGAAACGACATGAGGGTAAGTAATTAATGACAGAATTTCCATTTTTGGGTGAACTATCTCTTTAATTCGTCTAAAAAACGAAGCAAGAGGGAAAAGAAACGGAGAGAGAAAAAAAAAAGAAAACAGCAATAGAATGGAAACGCGAATGACAAGCTAACTGGCTAACGAATGCTAACGTGCTGCACTTGCGGTTTTAGAATAAAAGTAAACTATCAAATTAATCAGATTAGATTGATAAAATATAACTTAATTCCCACCATATTTCTGACATTATCTATCACTTTAAACAACAGAGTTTATATATACGGTGTGTATGTATATATATATATATATATATATATATATATTAAACACACTT